GTGCAACACGAGGACTTCTTAGGGGTTCACCCATCCTAGTACTACTCTCGCCCAAACACACTTAACTGCGGAGTTCTGATGAGATCCGATGCATTGGTGCTGGTATGATCGCACCCCTCCAGGACATTAAGTACATACCAAAGTTGTAAAGTACATGTTAATAATAAATACAATCAAATCTTCATACGTGATTGTTCCTTAAAATTGTCAAAACAATAATTTCTCTTTTCCTATACATTAGATTTGTAACTGACAAATTAATTTCCCCTTTAAAATTAATTCTCTACGGTGGTTGGTTAGTTTGTTGTGTGCTAAACTTAACTAATTTAAATACTCGCAACTTAAACTAGTTTGTTGGTTAGCCTATCCGATATGCAACACCCAATATAATAAGAGTAATGTTAAAAAATTTAAATGAAACTTAAAAAATTACAATTTAAATGCATATCATCTTTTGAATAAGTGGGTCCATCAATTTTTGTAGTGGGAACCCATTCATCCCACACTTATCCAAAGAATGATATGCATTTGAGTTTTAACTTTTAGGTTTTATTTGAGTTATGTAACATTTCATTTCATATAATAATGCCAAATCCAAAATTAACAGAAAACTATTTTAAATAAAAAAATGAAAATGAAAATCCAATGTGTAACAAACAGGGTTTCATGATCAACTCCATTGCTATTCAATACACCTAAAACGACATATCATAAATCAAATCATCACGACTTTATTCCATAATTAGTTGACACCATAAGAACACTTAACTTGGTAATATAACCACCAGTAGAAAGCAAAATCAACCAAACTTTTCCTCAATGGAAACTGTTTAAACTTTCAGAATCCGAAAGTCAGAACCACCTGGACCCAACTGAAATCGAAGTACCCCAGATTTCATCTTCTTTTGCCACATTTAATATACAAACAACAGAATTTGAGCCGTGCAATTATCAGGTAGATGCTCAAAAATACTTTTTTTTTAGGGTAAGCCAAACGAAGTCTAAGGGCCTGTTTTATTTGCGTTTCAAAAAATAATATCCGAAAACAGTTTTAAGAAAAATTTTAAGAAAGTGATTTTGATATTTTTTGAGATAAAAAACTTGTTTGCTTAGATGATTTCAAAAATAATTTTACAATACAGAAAATAGTAAAACTTGTTTGGACAGCCTAAATATATATTTGAACAGTAATTCAAACGTAATAAAAAGATATAAAAAAGTTATTTTTATATTGACAATTTCATAAAAAAAAATTCAATAAACCAAAATTTCAAAAATATATATATACCCATAGTGTGTATATATATATATATATATATATATATATATATATATATATTTATACGTATTTATATATATAAATATAAATATATATATATGTATATACGTTTATATATATATACTCATATCTGAACATCAAAAATTGTTCACCTTATTTCCAAAATTTTCAAAGAAAACTCTAAAAACAAGCTACACTTGTTTTCTGTTTCTTTGACTCAAATCTCATTTTTTTTCAAAATTTAGAGAACAAAAATGTTAAACAAACAGGTTTTGGGTATTTTTGAAATTTTTAGAACAAAAAATTGTTTCCGGATCACAAACCAAACATGACCTAAATTTCTTTTTGTACTTCGTCTTGCATGTCTCAAAAATCTCACCGTCTAGCCTACTTGTAGCGAAATTCCCTCCACTAATGGCAATCATATGGATGCTTACACCAATACTACTCTTCCAATATGCTTTGGATAGTTATGGGTTAGTTAACTTATGATACGAGGGGTATAAATTTGCATGGTGTAATAACTGGGAGACCCCTTGTAAGGTTTGGGAGTGGTTGTATTGGGCATGTGCAAATATGTTGTGGAATGATATGTTCCCGAATGTTGGGGTGCGCCATAAGTTTAGTAGGATGTCGGATCACTAAAATGTCATTCTTGATACTGAAGCAAAAAGTCTAACAAGGATGTATGCTGGCCGAAGGTGGATATTTAGGTTTGAAGCTTCTTGGCTTAAGAGGAGTGACTGTGAAGTTGTTATAAAGAATGTGTGGAATTCTGAGGGATTGGGTTCACAAGGCCTAATAATGAATATTCAAAATTGTAGGGTGGGTTTTCTTAGGTGGAAAAAGGAACAAGTCGGGCATATTCCTACTCAAGTGGAGTCTATAAAAGAACAATTGGCACATATCCAAGAAGGACCAATCTCTGAAGCTATTAAACAACAACAATCCTCTTTGGTCTGAGCTTAGTAATTTAATGGATTTGGAAGAAACACATTCGAGGCAAAGATCGCCGGTGAACTGGCATAAAAAGGGCGATAGAAATACATCTTTTTTTCATGCTTGGACATCACAAAGAAGGCGGAAAAATTGGATAGGGGGTATTAAAAACCAACAAAATTTATGGTGTGATTCACAAGAAGAGATTGGTTGCATACTTTAAACACTTGTTTATATCGGCCAGACCGCACGAGCAAAATTTGGAGATTGTTCTAAGCAAGGTGGCAAGTAAAGTGTTTGATGAAATGAACTCGAGACTCATGCAGTGCTATTGATCTAATGAGGTATTATTAGCGTTCTCTCAAATGTATCCTACTAAATCGTCTGGCCCAGATGGTATGCTTGCTCTTTTCTTTCAAAAATACTGGCATATGGTGGGGTGGATGTCCTAAATTGTGTACTATCTTTTTTGAATTGGGGGGGGGGGGGGTGTTGTTTCCTACTAAATTGAATTATACCTTCATTGTTTTGATTCCTAAAGAACAAAGTCCTGAGTTGATGTCTCAATTTCATCCTATAAGTTTATGTAATGTCCTATACAACATTATTTCAAGTCCTAGCAAATAGGTTAAAAATTGTACTCCCTATTATAATTTATGAAAACCAAAGCGCTTTTGTTCTGGGGCATTTGAACTAAATCATTTTCTTAAGTGTAAATCTTGGGAAAAGAGGGCCCAATTTCCTTGAAGTTAGCTATGAGTAAAGCATATGATAGAGTCGAGTGGATTTTTTTGGAGAAAATGATGGGAGCTTTGGGGTTTAGCAATGGGTGGGTTCAATTGGTTATGGAGTGTGTTAAATCGGTTTCATACTCAGTGCTTGTGAATAATGACCAAATGAGTTATTTTCATCCTCAAAGGGTTATCCGTCAAGGAGACCCCTTATTTTTTTCTTATATGTGCAGAAGAAATGTTTGCTTTACTTAAAGATGGGGAAACTCATGGATTAATATCAGGAATCACCGTTAGAAGAGGTTGCCCCAAAATCTCTCATTTATTTTTTGCAAAAAACAACTTGTTATTTTTTAAGGCTACTTGTTCAGAGGCAAATATTGTGAAAGAATTACTGCAACTCTATGAAGCAACTTCAGGGCAACAAATTAGTATGGGAAAATCGACTTTGGTATATAGTAAGAATGTTCTAGAGATTAGAGTTAAAGAAATACATGCTATTCTTGGTGTTCCTCGGGTTCAACAACATGAGAAGTGCCTTGGGTTGCTATCTGTAGTAGGTAAATCGAAGAGGGAAGTTTTTGTTGGTATTAGGGAAAGAGTTTGGAAGAAGTTACAAGGGTGGAAGGAACAATTATTATCAAAGGAGGGGGTAAAGAAGTGTTAATAAAAGAAGTCGCTCAATTGCTACCTACATATGCTATGGATTGCTTCAAGCTTCCAGAATATTTTTGTAGTGAGTTGGAGTCTTTGGCTTCTAATTTTTGGTAGGGCCAAAAGGATGGGGCGAGGAAGATTCATTGGGTTAAATGGGTTGACATGTGAAATAGGAGGAAGATTGGTGGGATGGGTTTTAGAGACTTGATGACTTTTAATATGGCAATGCTAGCAAAACAACATGGAGAATTCACCATGAAACGCATATTCTTCTTCACAAGGTTCTAAAGGCGAGGTATTTTCGTCGACTACATTTATAGATGCCAAGATTGCATACAAATCTTCATATACATGGAGGAGTATTTTAGAATCAAGGACAATCATTGAAGTTGGGTTGTGGTGAAGGATTGATGATGGATCTAAAATTCTTGTATGGAAAGATAGATGGATTCCTACTCCATCTATTTTTTGAGTGGTCAGCCCAAAGAATATTTTGGAGGAAGAGGCTATGGTTAGTGAGCTCATTAATTCAATTACACATTTTTGGAAAACTCCTTTGATTGATGCGGTCTTCTTGGAGCTGTGCTTTTTGCTACGCAAATTGGGTGTGATGAAATTGTGTTGGAAGGATATTCTTCTGCAATTATGAATTGGATTGATGACGCTATTATTATAGATATGCAACAGTTTATTCGTCTGTTTATTTTTTATTTTTTGTTTGCTGTTGGACGTTCAAGAAATTGTGTAGCTCACCAACTGTCTCAAAATGCCAGATTAGGTGGAAATATTGATGTTTGGGAAGAGATAACACTATATTTTCTAATATCATATCTTCTCTCAAACTTATTCTCTTAATAAAATTTCTATCGTTTCGATTCAAAAAAAAGAAGCAAAAAGCATCTCCTATTTTTCTTTTTAAGTCAACCCCAAACCCAAAAAACAAAACACGTCAGTTTCTCAATCACCCAATACCCCCAAAGGAAAAAATTATTAACACCACATGGAAATCTCAAGTGGTTTGCACACAAAAAAAAACTATGACAACAACATTTTGTGAGATGCACAAGTTAATTTTTTTTTTAAATTCTGGCAAAATGGTAGGTGTTGAACATTTATAAAGAATGTAGTGATGTACACATTGGCACTGATAATTTTCTTCCCTCCTTTCTCTCTCTCTAACCAAACAAATGGTCTACACCAAACAAACAGGCCGTGTCCCTAACTTTCTCTGCGTAAACCAGACAAATAGCCCAAAAGCCAAACAACTAGTCCAAAAGCCAAACAAATAGTCTCTCTGCCTCTCTCTCTCTCTCTCTCTTTATATATATATATATATATTCAATAGTCCACACATACAGTTTACGCTCTCCTCTCTCTAAAAAAAAACCTGTGTGTGTTAACACCGATGTCATAAGATCAAAAAACCATTCTCTTTTATTCTTGTATGCTCCCAAACTAAAAGTCATCAATTGTTAAGTTTGGCTGCCCAAAAACAGTCTATTCCCCAATCCAACAATAAGGCGCAGACTCTCTCTCTCTCTCATGGAAAAACACAGCAACACCATCATGGCCCCTTCATCTCCGACACCAACAACGTTTGTTCAAGCAGACACTACCACCTTCAGAGATGTAGTCCAAAAGCTAACCGGAGCATCCGGTGGCTCCCAAGACAAACTCCCGGTAACTCATCCTGCAAGGCTCTCTACCAAACCCCTTGAACCCACAGGCATTCGCCGGTCAACCTTCAAGCTCCAAGAACGTCGGCAGCACACCATGCGAAAACTTGAAATCAAACTCGGTCTCTTTTCACCGGTACAGAGCCCTGTGACCCCACTCGGGACCCAGTCCTCGCCGGAGGAGGAGGAGGAGGAGAGGGCTATTGGGGCAAAAGGGTTTTACATGCATCCGTCGCCACGGAAAGCACAGCCGCCCGAGCTATTGACTTTGTTTCCGTTGACTTCGCCCAGACACTAGTCTGAAACCTGGAGAAAATATTGAGTGTAGCTGTTCTCCATGTGAACAAAGCGAGGACGTGAGCCCATATAATTCAATAATAACTCATTCATGTAATATATAATCTCTTCTATATATAAAAGTGAGTTGTATTTTATCTATTTTAGAACTTTCTTGATTGTGCTGTAATGGTTATACTAAATATTTAATTATATAAAATATTTGATGGTTATAGGTGCCACGCGACAATAATTTGTGGTGTGCATTATTTGTAAATAATTTACATTCCCAATTTATTGCTATCATTTATGAAATTGTCAATTTTTTTTTTGAAAAAATTAACTTTTGTGTCTACAAGCAAATGTTATGATAATTTTTTAAGATAAATATCGTAATTGGTTCTTAAACTTTGTCTCCAGTTTAAATTTGGTTCTTGAATTTTCAATTGTCATAATTTAGTCCAGCAACAATTAATTCATTTTAATTGAGTTTTTCTATCTATTCTCACCATTGGATCAATTGGAAATTATCTCAATCTAATTCATTTCAAGCATTAAATTATATATTTCCGTTTTGATTTAATAGTGAAAATAGACATAAGGATTGAATTGAGATAAAATTCATAGTTGAAAGATTAAATTAAGACAATTAAAAATGCAAGAATCAAATTAAAAAAGAAGATAAAATTTAAGGACCAATCATGATATTTATCCAATCTTTTATTATATGTATATAATACATAACATTGCCATATAGTACCCTATAATCACTGAAAATTTTCTAGAAATATAGATTTTGGTCATGGAGTTTACATTTGTGGAAGATTCCGGGATTTGCATGTTTAAGGACTTATTCACTTTTCATTTAATAAAATTTATAAATTTTTTTAATTTTTGTATCACTTTGTCAATTTTCTAATTACTGCTTAGTGGGTATCATCTATCTAATATTACAAATGGGAAGTTAAATTCTCAAATTATAAAAATAAAACAATGGTCAAGATTAATTAAATTTTTATCTATTTAATGCAATAGTATAAAATTCATCCCCAAATTTTTTTTTCCTCAAAAACATTATTTCTCTTCACTACTCCCAATTTCAAACAGTCTTATTAATCCAGGTCAGTCAAGGCACGAGCTATCTTAGTAGCTATCAAAGCAGCTCAACATCTATTGCAGCTTAGCTTATACTAGAAAGAGGACAGAAGAGGAATTATACTACCAAATTCTATCTTGAGCAAGAAGTCACCATCTTCAGAATGTCACGCCAAAACTTCTAGAATGTAATGTCATGCCTAGAGATTAGAGCTTTTAACAACTAAATATTTTCTCTAATATCCTAATAAACTAGGGAATCACACCATCATTATTTAAGGACTACACTACCTTAGGGTATAAATAGGTAGACCCTTGCCAAGGGGATATGCATTTGTATACTCAAGAGTGTAACTGTTTTCTTTCCCAAATTATACAAACTAGAGGAACAAGAGACTATCACTTTTTGAATATTATGCACAAAAGATAGATATATAGTTAGTCCCCCTTCAAAATATATGCTCAATTAATAGGGTCCGTGTGTGTATGTGTGTGCGTGTATGTATGGTTTTTGGATGTAAAATGATAATGGTTGGTGGTACAAAAAATAGCTGATGGTATAAACTTAATTCAAATCTTGGCATTTCAGCTGGGTTTTATCAAAAATCAAAAAATATATAATCTCAATGTTGCTATTGATCAATTACTTGCAAAACATTGAGATCTAGGGTTTATTTACATGACACCTTGGGGATGAGGTATTAAAGAAGATTATTACCATGTATGAACCATGGAAGCAAGAAATATGTGCCATTAGCTTCGCATACTTGTACTGTATTTGTTAATTGGCCCTTTATAATAATTATATACACTTCGCGCCACAATGTTTTTTCTCGTTCTAATTTGCACCATAAAAACTAGTCAAGTTTTGCTCTCGCTAAACAAGAATTATGGTTCCGTCCCTCTCCGTGGTAATAGCAATGATGGAGTGCCAAGATGAGTATCTATACAAGTTTAATTCGATAGACACCTGAATTCAATCTGTCGTATCCCATTTGATTAGGTCTAATTGATACTGTCAAACTTATACATAACTTTTATGAACGAATAACTTTCCTAATGATAATTTTCAACAGATTAAGCGGGTTGGTAGGTTACATGTTATTATTTCCAAGTTAGTTATAAGGATAAGAAAACATAAACAATTTTTTATTCGAAACTTTACTTCACCTTTATATTTGGGAGTTTCTAATGATATTTATGCTACTAGTTATTCATCAATGTCTCATTTCTAGAATTCATTCCATTTATAGGCGTTTTCAACTTGCTTAATAAATAATCTATCCTTTATTGATAGAGGATTCATTTGATTACAGTAGATTCGACTTAATTCATCCTAATAAATTATCTATTATTCGTAGATTTATAAATAATCTAGCTAGTGATGTAGTGGATTTAAATCCCATTAACCTAATTTTTTGAAGGAAAAAAAAAACACTAAAGGTCTCTAGGACATAGATGCCACATCATTGAATTTACATTTTCACGATCATCATCGTTACTTTTCAAACAAGCGAATTCACCGTTATTTCTGTCCATAAAAATACTTGACTTAAAAATAATATTTTTTTTGTTACAGGATGTTCAACCTTGCGTCGATTATTCTTTTGAGTTCAACAGTTGACTACTGTACCAAAGGGTAGGATGGTTTGAAAATTTGACATGCATGTCCTGACTTTTTAGTCTTTCTTTCATGCTGTCCTCAAATATGTCTGCTCTAGAATTTCCATGGAATTGCTGATGTTGAATTTCATGAGACTAGAAATCAAAATTGGGAGTCATGATCCAAGAACTGGTTTTGGCTGAAACTTTTCCAGTACCCTTTTTTACCCATAAACTGTTCGTTGTGTTCTTCCATTTTGGTTGCTTTTCACACTTGAGGACTTGACTACGGTCCTTCAAACTTTATTATTTTTGTGGGTATTTTTACAATAAAAAAATTTATTATTTTTTAGAGTAATTTACCACTTTTATAGATATTTTTACTACATTTGTAAGTATTTTTATCACTGCTGTGGTAACTATTTTTATCAATTTTTTTGAATTATAAGTGTTTTTACCATTGTGATAGTTTTTTTATCACTTTTTTAATACTACAATAACAAAAATAACTATAAAAATAATAAGTATCAATACGATTTTATTTTTCCCTATACAACTCCCAGAGTTTATTCTGTGTCTTGCTCTCTCAAAAGTGTGCCCCCTCTTGCGGAGAAATTTTAGCATATCATTATCAACTTTACCCAAAAGATTAGCTGTCTCACACACACACGCAAGGGTCAATGGAATCATGATAAGCATGTCAATCATCGCTGCGCATGGTCTATGTTTCATGAAGAATACTAATGCAAATGTGGTCATTATTCCAAGGTGAAATTTAGGCAGCCTCCTCATTGGAAATCATGTACTGGACCTGCTGTGTTGCAGAGCCAAAAATATTTAGATTTATGTGCATCTTGAGTGTGGATTCTTCACACTTTAGGACCTCCAAATGAAATTTTAGTGCCCTGGGTTTAACTAGATGTGCACAATAGAAGAAGAAGAAGAAGAAGAAGAAGAAGAAGAATAATTATATGTCTTTATAATTCTTATTGCATGCATATTCTTAGCATTTAGATATGGTGTCGGATTAGCGCCCATGGGTGGACACAGTCTAAATAGATAATGATGGGTTAGTGTTTTGATTAATTTAAATTTGGTCAAGCTATGAGTTTGACTCCTAAAATTTCTCCACCTTATCCCAGTTCTTAAAATCTCTCAATCTTATCTCAAATGTGTGATATATCTCTCTATATATATAGTGGGACTCTACCAAAACATGAGATATATAAAATTATTACGATTGATGCTCTTCATTCTCTCTCTATAACGTTACTTGTGTGACACTCTAGAATGGTAGAATCTAAATTATCGTAACCCGCATTAGACTCTAGAACACTGGAAATTCAGTTCTGACTTATTTAGCCTAACTTACCATGAGTCGAAGTGTTCGCATTCAAAGGTATTTCATGATTATCAAGGAGGTTCATAAGGAATAGTAAAATAATATCTAAATCCGTTGATTCGATGTGTTCGGTTCGTTACCGTATATGACTTATTTTATGTATTCACATTTTTGTATTCTTACATTGGTATTAGAGGCATAATATATTATTTTCAACTCTTAAAATGTATATTATGTGGTTCATGGCATGAAAGGAATTATGCTGAAGAAATTATCGCTTCACACCTTTGAATTTTTTATAATTTAGTCATTTAAAAAAATTTGAATAGCAAGATAGTGACATCCATGAGAACACCCTGGAAATTATTGTCCAATCATATTGCCTTTTTTTTTTTTTTTTCAATTCTCAATAAGGGTCAAATCAAGACAAAAATAGGTGTTTTTTCTTGCCCTTCTTTATATACTGCATCTTTTGTCTCCATCTGCAGGTTTTTCTCTTAACCTTCTTTGGGTGCTTAATCCTCTGTTCGTCCCTTATAGATTGATCATAATTAATCAAACTTTTTTAAATATCATCTTAAATTTATCAAACTTTTTATTATTCATATTCTATTATAAGATTATGAAAATCTTGTATATTGTCAAAATTCTTTGTTCTAACTATATATATATATATATATAATATATAAAGAAATAGTTAATTTTTTTTTATAGAATTTTATGATTGAAATTAATTTTTTAATGATGTTTGAGAAATTAATTTTTTTGAAATTCATTTGATTAGAATTCCACTTATAATTCCTTAAAAAAAATAAAAGTAATTGACAGTATACTAATTACATTGAAACCTTACTGTAATTAGGAATTGTTAAGGTTAATTGGAATAAGCTCTAATATATTACCTATAATATATATTTTCAAGCATAATAAAATTCTAAAAAATTAAAATTTTAATTTTTTTTTTTGAATCGGAACAATAGAAA